AGTGCAAGTGTGGATCAGGTCGGCAACCATTATTTTCCGAGCTGGAAGACCTGATCTGTGAATGGGTTGTTGACAGGAGAGCCAAGGCTTTGGTTGTGAATAGGGCTCAGATTCAAGAATTTGCCCTTGCAATGGCACCACAGTTGGACATAGTCCCCGAAGACTTCAAAGCATCACAACACTGGCTGGATAATTTCCTTCAACGAAGTGAACTGTCTTTAAGAAGATCTACAACACTGTTTAGGTTGGAAGATACTCAAGTTATTAAGCAGGTGCTTGCATTCAAGTCCTTTATTGATGATGCTGACTTCTCTAAATACAATCTTTCCAACATGATTGCTATGGATGAAACTGCAGTGTTTATGGGCCAATCATCTCAAACAACAATTGAACAGTGGGGTGCTTCCTTAGTGTACATTCCCTTCACTGCTTATGAAAGTGCACGTGTTTCCTGTACTTTGGCAATTCGTCTGGATGGCACTAAAATCCCATCTTTAATCATTTCTAAGGGCAAGAAGGAAAAGATTGAACGTGTTTTGGGCGTTTTTATTCTTGAAACTGAAAAAGCCTGGGCCACACAAGCAGTTATAAGGAAGTGGGTCAATTTAATGCTGCCGCTTGTTATGCGAGGGAACTAAAGAGGTCTGCTAGTCTGGGATGCAGCCAGCACTCACTGCGCTAAAGACATGAAGACATTTCTTCACGAAAGAAAAATAGATCAGATAATGATTCCTGCAGGAATGGTGGCCTATCTCCAGACTCTTGATATTGCAATAAACAAGCCATTCAAAGACAATTTGCACATGGAAATTAATGACTACATTGAAAATAGAATGGAGAGAAATCAGCATGGAAACTTTGTGAAACCTAAACTGCAAGAAGTTGTGACTTGGGTGAAGAATTCATGGGAGATTGCCAGGACCGGTTTGGCTCAGCGGTAGAGCGTCGGTCTGTGGACTGAAAGGTCCCAGGTTCGATTCCGGTCAAGGGCATGTACCTTGGTTGCGGGCACATCCCCGGTGGAGGATGTGCAAGAGGCAGCTGGTCGATGTTTCTCTCTCATCGACGTTTCTAGCTCTCTAGCTCTCTCCCTTCCTCCTCTCTGTAAAGTATCAATAAAATATATATATATATATATATATATATATATATATATATATATATATATATAGAATTCATGGGAGAAAATCACTGACAGTTGCATTGCAAATGCACTGCAAGCAGGCTACCTAGACAAGAAGTACTCATTTAAAGACAGTGTTATTGCTAAACATGAGAGAGTTGGTCCACTGATTCTGAAAGAAATGGAGTCACAAGAAATTCACCAGGAAATTCAGGAATTGGATTGTTATGATGATGTTCCAGAAGATGATGACATGATTGTCATTGAATAAATGAGTAAATTCTTGATACTGTAGGATTCACAGTTTGTCTAGTTTGTGTTGACAACTACTGTACTACCATACCGTATACAGGTAATAAATTTCCTTTATTTTCACTTAACAATAAATGTGTATTGTATTCTTCTTCATGGAAAAATAAGACACCCCTGAAAAAGACCTAGCGCATCTTTGGGAGCAAAAATTAATACAAGATACTGTCTTATTTTCAGGGAAACAGGGTAGTTCTATAACAGTCCACATAGATCTGCTTTGTCTATTTCATCAACCAGAGGTTATTTCAGAGTATGGCTGTTCCACAGTTGATTTAACCTTTTCTTACCGATGGGCATTTGTTTTCCGCTTTTGGTGTTGCTCTTTTATATGCTTCTTTGTGACGTGTTTAAGCATTTCTCTGGGAGATACACACAGTGGCATTGCTAGGTGCTAGGGAAGTCACGTGGAGTAAAAGTAATGAATACAGTTAAATGGTACTCCATATGGGCTGCACGAATCTTTAGCTCCACTACCTTGCAAACACTGGATACTACCAATCATTTTACTTTTTGCTAGTTGGATTTGTAAAATGATGGCTCATCTTACATTTCCCCTTCCTGATTACTGTGACACTAAGTGTATCTCTTATTGTGAATTCCTCATGAATGTCTTCAGCCCACCCTGCCATTGACTTGTTGGACTTCTTATTAATTTTGGGAGGCTTTTATTTATTTTATTTTTTTAAAATATATTTTATCAGAGAGGAAGGGAGAGGGATAGAGAATTAGAAACATCGATGAGAGAGAAACATTGATTAGCTGCCTCCTGCACATTCCCTACTGGGGATGTGCCTGCAACCAAGATACATGCCCTTGAGAAGGAAGGCACATGTATGGAGAACACTATAGGGGAAGGCAGGAAGAACTTCATTCCATAAGAATGGTGCAGATTAAATGCCAACTGAGCAGTGCAGGACACTTTTCTGCAGGAGGTGGCACTTAAGCCACAAGGGGACTGAGAGGTTGTTTGGCTTGGCTGCTGTGCATATTCCAGGAAAGGGATCAAAGCTAGATAAGAGGGGGCAGCTATGATCAAGGGAGGGTTGGCAAGCTACCTACTGTCCATAGCTCCAATGTGGCTGCCACCTGCTTCTGTACAACATAGGAGCTAAGAATGGTTTTTACATGTTTAAATGATTAAAAAAACACACAAAAGAAGATGATTATAACATAAAAACGACATGAAATTCACACTTCAGCATCCATAAGTAAAATCTTGAAACATAGCTGTTCCCATTTGTGTACTGTCTGTGGCTGCTTCCATGCTGCACCAGCATAACTGAGGGTGGTGGCAGAGAATGTTCACCTTCTCGGTTTTTACAGGAAGAGTTGACTGACCCCCTGATACAGAGACTCGAATCAATGAGGTTTAGGAGTTTGACCCTTATGTGCTGGGCAATGAACCAGGAAGTATCAGCTGTTTATGAGGAAGATGACTGTGACCAGGGTGGAGGTTTGGAGAGAGAGAGAGAGAGAGAGAGAGAGAGAGAGAGAGAGAGAGAGAGAGAGAGAGGCCTTAGGTTGACTGGGAAATAATCTAAGTAACAAGTAACTGGCTTTCAAATCTAGAAGTTGAACAAAGGAGGGGAAATGTAGCAGGTTCATTCCTTTATTAAGGTTTGTGATTTATAATAAGAACTATGTATTTGGTCTTCATCCTCAGTCCCTGAGACAGGGCTCCTGAAACCCTCCTACTTCTCAAGTCATAAGGGCATGAGGAGCCTCTTTTGTTCCCATGAGGGAACTTGGGGCGGGCTCCCAGGTGGCTCCCGGGTGTGTTCCAGTCCCCAGAAAGAGGAAGCAGTAAGGAAGACCAAAGTTGTCATTTTCTGCTCCACCTCTTACTTCTTCAGAGAGGGAAAGGGGCTAGAAATGGAGTTGATACTGGATCATGCCTGTATGAGGCAGCCTCCATAGACCCCAATAGTATGGGGTTCAGAGCTTTCAGGTCGGTGAACACATTTATGTACTGGGAGGGTGACAACCCCCAACTCCTCAGGGACAGAAGCTCCTGTGTTCAGACCCCCTCAGACTTCCCATGTATGTCTTCATCTGGCCGTTCACCTGTATTTTTTTTTAATTGTATTTATTTATTTTTTATTATTTATTTATTTATTTATTTATTTATTTATTTATTTATTTATTTTTAACATAAGCAGAAATAATTTATTGGGAAGAAACTTGGCAGTTCACATAATTGACATGAATCTTGAAAATGTATTTTTTTTAAAAAAATTATCATATCTTTTAATAAACAGATGAATGTGAGTGTGTCCCTGAGGTCTGTCAGTTATTTCAGCAAATAATAAGATCCAAAGTGGAGGAGGTCACTTCCAGCCAAATTGGACAGAAGCAGTGGGTAACATGGGGCTTGCTACTTGCGATTGGCCTCTAACCTGTGTGGGAGGGTGGCGTCTCACAGGATTGAGCCCAGGATCTGACACTATCTCCAGGTAGACAGTGTCAGAATTGAGTTAAATTGTAGCACACACAGCTGGTGTCTTCAAATTGCTTGGTGTGGGTATCATTCTCCCTCCCCACCACCACACACACACACACACATTTGTGATCAGAAATATCAGAATAAAGTGTTCTGCTACTGGTGGGAATGCAGACTGGTACAGCCATTATGGAAAAACTGTACAGAGTATCCTCAAAAAATTAAATATGGAACTGCCATTTGACCCAGTGATCTCACTTCTAGAAATATATCCTAAGAAACCTGAAGCACCAATCAGAAAGAATATATGCATCCCTATGTTCATAGCAGCACAACTTACAATAGCTAAGATCTGGAAACAGCCCAAATGCCCATTAGTGGGAGAGTGGATTAAAAAATTGTGATACATTTATACCATGGAATAGTATACAGCAGTAAAAACACACAACAACAACTCTCACCCTTTGAAATAAGGTCCCATTCTGGAGGTAATGAAGGCTAGAACTTTAACATGCAAATTTTGGGGAGATGCAGCTTAACCTATAACAACTACCAGAACCTGGTACAAGGTACTGTTCAGAGAAATCATTCTTCTCCCACATTCTGCCTCTGCTCATTGCATGTAGGGGATTTCCTTCTGAGCTTTCTCTGTTTACTCTGGCACCCTTGCTAAGCTCCTCACCATTCCTCCCCTAGGAGGGGAACTGTTCATTGGTGGGCCAGTGTCCACTCTTTTTGTTCATGTCCATTGGTGGGGGAGGCCGCTGTGGCCACACTCTCTGTCCCCACAGGGACCCACCCTTCCCTTTAGGCCAGCACACTGTGAATCCATGTGCCCCAACTCCTGGAAAAGGTCATTTAGGACTGTTCTACAAATCCAGCCACATTTCATGATCCTTATGGGGTCTCCCAAGTGGGCCGCCTGGGGTCTGCTTCAGACCTGACCCCATGAGGATGGAATGTGCAGGTTATCAAAGTTTATGGAAATATAGGTGGTCAGTGCTTACTGATGTCAATAACACCATCCATGAGAGGCCACCAAGAAGCAAAGACATTTTTTTTTTAAAACAAAGTTGACTTTATTACATTAATTTTATACAGTGAAAGAATATGAAATGAAGATGTCTAAATTCTCTTGCTGATTCTCTTGAAGACAATGTCACCCAATGTCATGATCTGAAAGTCAGAAAAGAAATCATGCAGTAAGTATGATTGCAAAATTGTAATAAGTATACAATCTAACCTCTCTAACCACCTGATGTTGAATTACAAAAGATGACTAAGTCATCAAAATAGCTGTAAATACGCTGTCATACGGAACAGCCCAAAGAGCCCTCTGTTTTTTATAAGACCAGAGAAAGGGTTGGCAATCTTTCTAAAATCCCAGGCCAACTTCTTGTCACTTTCCTTCCTCATGTAGAGATGTCTCCTGACTCTTACTGAAGTCTTTTCTACAAAACCAGTTTTGTCCAATCCAGTTTCTCAAAGTTTCATTGAGTGCCTACTATGTACCCAACACATCTTGAATAGCAAGGACACACGTATATGGAAACACTGAGGCACCCAGTCTGGAACATAGCAGATAGAGCATAATTTTCCTCCAAAGCTGCAAAGCATATAAAAACTCTAGATATCTTGGACTCATCAGTTTTTGAGGCGTGTTCCCTTTCCCCCCCTCCTCACCCTCCCACTGATCCACTAATTCTCTTGAACAAGATTGTTGCAGTGTCATTACAGTTAAAAAGGAGTCTCTTAGTTTCTGCAGCAATGGAATTGAATGGGAAGATTTGGGTTTGAACCTTGATTCTACAACTCATTGTAGATGACCTCGGACAGGCCAACCTGTCTATTAAACCCCTCATCCTGCCTCCTTCATTGGAGATGTGAGGATTAGAAGAGACAGAGAGTATTGAAGGACATTGGCCAAGGCCAAGCCCAGGACTGATTCTCTTCTGCTCCCCTGCTGGTATTTCCCTGATCTGCTGTGAATGTGCTGGGGGTGGGGGATGGGGGGGTTGCTCACACTGTCCCAAGTTGAGGGATTTCCCCACTTGGACTGAGTGATGACAGACCCCAGCTGTTACTCCCTAAAGTACAGTCTGGGGCAAGGAAGAGCCAGGGGACATCATTGATGGAGAGACACTATACTGGGCCGGAGACAGAAGTGGCTGGCAGCCAGGCACCAAGGATGACGTGGCACACACCACGACAGTGTGCCAGATTCATAAGCTGCCATAAAACTGCCATGAATAGGATTTTCCTTATTAACGCCAAATAGGCAAAGGCATTTGCTGCCTGCTCTGGGCTTGTTGGGCACATAGATGTCTTTGTGGCTTCTTGGTGAGTGTAGAGGCAAAAGAGAAGGGCTATTATGAATAATAATCATTGCATTGTCACAAAACAAAAAGCAACAAAAGGGCTCAACTTTTGGCCAAACAAATCCTTCCTTGCATGTGGGTTCTGTGTCAGTGGAAGGGCTGTTCTGGGAATCAGAGGCACACAGAAGGCGACAAGTGGATTTCTGCCCTCTAGCCCGTGAGCGTGTCCTGAGGCCAAATCCCAGTGGAGTCTGAGGAGGGTGGGCTGTGCTGGTAGGTCTACATGACCCTACCCAGTGCCTCTCTTGCCCCATCTTACTTAGGTTTGGTGAAGGAAGGGTAGAGCAATGAGGAGAGAAGGAAATGGGAAGGCTGGAGTGGTGAATCCTGACCCGGAATGTGGTGGTGGAAGGACAGCCCGAAGGAGCCCAGGGAGAGTGGGGAAGCCCCAGTGGGGGGTCGCTGCCTGCACATGTGGAGTCTGGTGAATTAGAAAAGGGTGCCCCTTCCTCAAGACACTGATCTGTTGGAAAGCTACCCTAATGCACTCAACTCAGACTAATACTCCTGACTGGCAGACACTGCACGAGTGTAACAAGTGTGCAAGCCTAATCTGTCTGTAAGGGGAGTGGTTCTCTCGAAGGTGTGCTGTGGCGCAACTGTGGGCGGCCACCCTGTGAGACATACCCCACTCAGAGAAACCCTAGCTTTGCCTTTCCTTGCTATTTGTTGCCTCAGTGTCCCCATTTAGAAAACGGAGGGTTATTGGGAAGATTGCAGATATGTGTGTCAAATGCCTGGTACATAGTGGGTCCTCAGGAGGTGGCAGCAGAGACGAACAGCAGCAAAGGAGCGGGGAAAGGTGGCTTCTCACCTGGCCCTACACCTCTTCCCTCAAACACTGGAAGCCACAGCTCAGAGTGGCAACTTACGTGGGTGACTGTGTCTCCGTTGAGTTCTGTCACGGACTTGATGCCTTTGAAAGATGTCACCAGTTTATTATCACCTTCCATATTAACGACTGCCTGCAGTGGACAGAAGAGATGGCCTGTTAGGAAGGGTTTGGCTGGGAGCAAGGCATTTGCTAATGATGTTGGCTCCCCGGCATGGGTCTCTGCTTACAACAACCCATTGCTCATCTTTATATAAGGCCAACCTCCCAGCTCTCTGACTCCTAATAGAAATGAATTGTATTTAAAAACTTAAAGAAGCCTTGGCTGATGTGGCTCAGCAGTTGAGCGTCAACCTATGAACCAGGAGGTCACCTTTTGATTCGTGGTCAAGGCACATGCCCCGGTTGTGGGCTTAATCCCCAGCGGGGAGCATGCAGGAGGCAGCCAGTCAATGATTCTCTCTCATCATTGATGTTTCTCCCTTCCCCTCTCCCTCTCCCTCTCCCTCTCCCTCTCCCTCTCCCTCTCCCTCTCCCTCTCCCTCTCCCTCTCCCTCTCCCTCTCCCTCTCCCTCTCCCTCTCCCTCTCCCTCTCCCTCTCCCTCTCCCTCTCCCTCTCCCTCTCCCTCTCCCTCTCCCTTTCTCTCTCTGAAATCAATAAAAACATTAAAAAAATTTACTTAAAAGAAAATAACTGGAAGAAATGGTCAGGGTATCTTTTGCCAGACTTTTAGATTTATACTTGGTGATTTAGAAATCAGCATACAACACCTAACTGGCTAAAAACACTGAAGTAAACTTGAGTAAAATCTCAATTCTCCAAGCTAATGGAGGGAGGTGGTAGCAAGATTTCAGAACTGGCCAGTTGGGAGAGCACATTCCAGCATGCTTATCGTTCTTGCGGTATCTATCCTTCTCAAGCTTTATGTATCCAGGGAGAGCTAACAGAAAGCCAGGAAGAGAAAACAGGGAGCAGAAGATACTGGCCAACATTAAAAATTTGCCTCCAAAACGGACAATCGGAAAAGGTCTGTGGTAAACCCATGATGACCATGTGTCCCTTCCTATGGGCACATGGAAAAGATTTTCTTCCTAAGTTTTATTCCAGATTTCTTGACCTGTAGTGTTATATCTGGAGAAGCAGAAATAAAGACTGATCAAAGATAAAAGTAACGACGTGCTGAGCCCAATGCACAAAATTGTCTGGAGGGGAGGAGTAGAGGCGGCTGCTGACCATGTGGGGTGGGTGGAGTTTGTAAGGAAGGAAAAGAGGCTTTTGGTGGAGGGCATCTCAGTGCCTGGAGCTCCATGCCAGCGCCTGCTGACGCTCACACAGCCCGCACCCAGTGCTCATTACACACCTGAGTCATCACCCAGCGGAAAAGATGTGGCCCTGTCTTCAGTCTGGGAAGGGAGACGGTGCCTGTTTTACAGATGAGGTAGCTGAGGCCGGGGGCTCGGGGGTCACCCTGAAGACTTGGTATTCTAGGGTTGTCAGCACCTCCTCCAGGAAGCTTCTCCCCAGGACCAATGGCTCGAGGCCTAGCAAAGCCAGTTTAATTTGGACTCAAGGAGACCAGGGCTCTGTGAAGGGTTTTTCACTGTCCCCCACTTGCCCACTGTTGGGCCTGGAAGAACCTGGGACTTAGTTCCTTGCTGAATGCATGGTCCCACCAGTTCCTCCATAGTGGGAGAGCTCGGATTCTTGGGCCAGAGCACCTTCATCATTGGTCCTTTGGGAAGTTTTCCCTAAGAGCTTCTTCCCTAGGAGCTGACGTTGTCTTTCTGCTTACTTTCCCAGAAGTAAGTTCAGAGAAAGGGCATCCATGGTGGGAATGTGAGGTGTGACCCTCGAGGGAGGAAGCCCTGGGACCAAGCTCCAAGAAAAGTTCCAGAAGCAGATGTGGCTGGAGGGGCATCTCTTACCTTGACCTTCTCCCCAGTCATGGTCTCCAGCTCGCACTCCTCCCCCAAGGTGAACTCATTCTGGATCACTTTGGACCCGGTGGTGATGGTGAGCTTGAAGTGTTTCCCATTCTGCACTACCTCCGACACTCCCTTGAGGTCCTTCCCCTTCTGGATGAGGTCGTCAGGCATACCTGGTGGAAACCATCTGAGGTTTAGAGACCGGCAGAGGTGGGAGTTGCAAGGCAGAGGTCACAGAGAAAGTTTGTAGTACGGAGGGGGAGAGGGAAGTGCTGTGTCTTCCTGGAGGCCACAGGCATGGAGTCCTGTGAGTAACATGGGCCTTGACCTGCCCTGGCTGGCTCACCATCTTGTCAGTTGGTTTAATAGAAGATACTCTTCTGTCTTTTTTTAATTTTTATTATTTTTTTTTAATATTCGCCAGGGGATATTTTCCCATTGATCTTTTAGAGAGATGGAAAGCCAGAAAGACACATCTATGTGAGAGAAACACATCGATTGGTTGCCTCATGCATGCTCCCTGACCAAGGAGGAGTCTACAACCAAGGTACGTGTCCCCAACTGTAATCAAATCTGGGGCCCTTTGGTCTTCAGGCCGATGCTCTATCCACTGAGCAAAACCGGCTAGGGCTGAAGATCTCTCCCATCATGAGCAGCTGGTTCTTGCTCACTCTCCTTCCTCACTGTCCTCCTTTAACACCCAGAGAATTTGCTCTTTGAGTATAAGCATTTCATCCTCCACACTCAAGTTAGCTGATACAGTTTATCTTTCAAGCCAGATCACTCTTGAGAGTGAGAAGTGGGGTTGGGGATGCTACTATACCAGAGCAACATGCACCAACTGGGCCTGTTCTGGTCAACAACTGTCCACCTAGCCCTATCTTGACCTCTGCTGGCAAGGCTCTCGAAGAGGAGGTATCAGGAGTCCCTTCTCCTGGGACAGAGCTTTACAAATTTCATAGCATGTATGTGGTGTCATATGAATTGAGTTTTACAAACCCACATGCGTTGATAGTGGGTGGTGTGTGTGTGCGTGCGTGTGTGTGTGTGTGTCCTGTAGCATAGGTGAGGGAGAAGTGGCATGACTTCCCTATAGGAGATCCAAGCTCTCTGAAGGTCCTCTTCCCTCTGTCTGCTGTTTTTTCCACCCTTCTCCCTCTTGGCACCCTTCCTTGTTACATGGTCCCTTTGCTCATAAGGCTTCCTCTACTAGGAGTGCAATCCCCTTTTCCAGTCCCCTAGTGGACACCGGCTCATCTTCCAAGGTTTAGCCAAAGCTCACCTTCATCACCATCAAACCTCCTCTCCTTGCCCTCCTGTGAGCACCACATCCTCCTGCACAATCCTCTGGGGGACACAGCGGGTGAAAGTGGGATCTCTGGGAACCAGTACCTGCTTCAATTCCCGGTTCAAACGCTCCCTACATGAGTGACCTTGGTTGGGATTACTTAATCTTTCGAGGTCTCAGTTGCTTTGACTGTAAAATGGGAAAAGTAATAGTACCAAACTCAGAGTTTTTTCATTGAGGATTCAGTGGGATATTTCATGTCAAAGGCTTAGCACAGTGCCTGGCACCGAGTCAATTCTCAATACACATTAGGAGATTCTTTGTTGTATTTATTTCGTCTCCTTTTCCTTGCTAAACTGTGACTTTGGAAATGTGGGTCATTGACATGTTTCCCTTGTATCTGTCCAGCACAATGCTTAAAATATGGTTGGCCTTGAGTCAATGTTTGGAGAATGAATGGCTGGCTGGATGAATGAATGAGTGAGCAAGGTCACACAATGAGTTACTAGCAGAGGTGGCTTCAATCCAAATCAGTCACTAGTCCAGTGCACCTTCCACTTGCCTCTGGGTGGCTCGTCCAGTGAGGACCAGCACAAGCTGCCAGTGACTGCAGAAGGAACAAGCACAGCATGGCCCTGGGCTGCATAAAGCCTGAGCCTCTCCTCCCATCCCAGTATCCAGCCTGCATTTGTGACTGGCCACCACCTGCTGGGCCAGACACTGATTGCCATGACCACCGCTTGGTGTCCAGGTCAGCACTCACCCATTGCCTTCATGAAGGGCTCGAAGTTTTCCTGGCTCTGCAGCTGGTACTTGCCGGAGAAATTCATGGTGGCGATGAGGCTCCCTCCACAGTTGATCGGCAGCTCTGCTGGTGGGGCTGTCCAGTGTGGGCTGATTTATAAGAGGCTATTTCCCCTTGAAGTGTTGGCCATAGGTCAGCATCTGTCACCTCCTTTATGGCCAGGTTCAAATATTAACTCGAGAGCAATGGTCAACGATAAAGAACACACAGGATGGGCACAGCAGAGATTTGCTCTAATTCAGCAAACATTAACAGTGTCAATCAAGTGCAAAGCCCTATGGTTCTGCAGCCTTTAAGGTGTTACTCACCCATGAAATGTGTGCATATATGTGTATATGTATAGATATCTGTGCATACATGTTTATGTGTGTATATATACGGGTGTATATCTAGAGCTATACAAACAGGATAATACTAAGTAATCCCTTTAAACTCAAAACCTCACCTTATTTACATAACCTTTTGATCTCTTCCCACAGACCTAATTTTTACAAAGATGCCATCAGCCCCTAGACTCTAGGTCCTAGAGCTATTTTGTATTCCAGGGAATGTCTCCTCCACAGACTCCTCTGCAGTTCAAATCAGTCTCCTTTTTTTTTTTTTTTTTTTTTTTTTTTTTTTTTTTTTTTTTTTTTTTTTTTTTAGAGAGAGAGTGGAAGGGAGGGGGAGAGAGGGAGAGAGAACATCAGTTGGTTGCCTCCCCCATGTGCCCTGACAAGGGTGGAGGATTGAGCCTATAACCAAGGTACCTGCCCTTGACCAGAATTTAACCTGGGTCCCTTTAATCCTCAGGCTGATGCTCTACCCACTGAGCCAAACTGGCTAGGGCAGTGGTCGGCAAACTGCGGCTTGCAAGCCACATGCAGCTCGAGAGCTGCGGTTTGCTGCTCTCTTGACAAATGCGTTCGCTGACCACTGCTAGACAACTGTTACCATGTAGTTGGAAGCTGTGAGGATTAGGCAATTGTGGCATATTGTGTGCAAAGAGGTAAAGGGTAGTATATGACAGTGGCTGGCAAACTCATTAGTCAATTAGTCTAATTAATAACAGTCTAACTGGGGCAGCAGACTCCTTTTCAAATTGTTAGAACAGTACATATTAAAGAGAAGGTGTGGCATTTGAGATACGTTTTATCCTGCAGATAAAGGGTAGTGGAGAGAAAGAAGGCAGTACCTGCTGAGCTGACTGGACAGGTCAGGGCCGTCCATGCCTCATGCTTGCTCTCCCTCCGCTCTCTGTGCCCGTCTTTCCTTCACATGTGCACCCCCTCTTGGATTCATCTGGGCCCGGAGAGCACTTGGCAAACACCTATACTCTAATTCCTACTGGGATTACTTCTCGATGTATTCTCTTTCACAGCACTTCTTTCTTGGGTTTCCCAATACTTGGAGCTTGAGAAGTGTCCAGTTAATGATAGGTCACCAAATAAAGCCATCAAATCATAACGAGGACACGGCTCTTCCTGTAAAAGGAAAAGAAGGGGCAGAGAGAGGTATGGAAAGTCCGGTAGCACATACTCTCAAACCACAGGATCACTGCGCTGGGCAGCCGGGAGACTGAGAACCTGGCTGGGAACTTTCCCCTTTGTCTTAGCGGAACACAATTTAGATTCTGTGTTTCCTGAGCTGCTGCCCCCTTTTTTGCTGAAAGAAATGCTTTTCATGCTTTAGTACAGCCTAAAATTCCTTTTGATTTATAGCTGGCATATAAATCACATCCAGGACCCTCTCCCATGACCACAGATGTCAGGTGACACCCCCTCCGCCCCCTCCTCCCCCATCCCACAGTGCTGCTAACTGGGTTCTAAGGTGGAGATTGGGAAGGAGGGTTGAGAAAGTTTCTTCTTAGTGCAAGTCAGCACCCATCCCAGAGGCCTCTAGGAAGCCTGGATCAGTTGGGCACTCCTTTCCTGGGGTCTGAGGAAAAGTGGGGCCTGTGACTGCCTATACTTATCCAGGCAATGCCTGGGCAGAACGCACATAGCCTGGTCAGGGGTCTGGCACAGCCAGTGAAGAGCTGACAGCTCCCGCCCCAAATGGAAGCCTGACAGATGGAGAGGCAGGTAGACCAAGCTGGCAGTCAAGGATCCTGACCCCTCTTTCCCCCCAGGTCCTAGACAGTGCAATCCTCAGGCAACTCCCACCAGCCTCCTTTTGGTCAGGTTTCTTGTGTGTGAGTTTTGAGGCCAAGGAGGTTAGTGGCCATTTCAAAATTTATCACTTGTGAACAGTGTTCCATAAAATGAGGAGAGGGGAATGACATTTCCCACCCACGAGCTGAGCAAACACAAGAAGAGATAAGCTTGATTGGGATGACAAAGTTCAAGTGGCTTTCAAGACAGAGACTCCCACTTCATGGGAGCGGCTTCTGATTTTTGTCAACCAGAGATGCCAGTGCTCCTCCAGTCCCCAGTGGACGTCCCCTCTTCTCACGCTCCCTTCTCCGCTGAGCAGCATGGAGGCGAGGGAGAGGAGGTAATGCCCAGGATATGACTGGCAATGCCCAGGATATGACTGGCAGTCATTCTAAGTGAGGCAGCTTTGCACCTGTGTCTAATCCCAGGCATCTACAGTACTAGCTTGCTCACTTCCTCGTGTACCCTGGGAACCCATCGGCAAGAGGCAGGGCTGCAGATGGGAAGTACTGGGTTTGGGCCCAGCTCTTTTCTCCGCCTGGACAAGGAGTCAGCCTTTCAGAGTGTCCACTTCTCTCCGCCTGTGAAAGCACTGTGTGACAGTCAAGTCCTTCTGGAATGTGAGCTCATATCAGAGAGACTCAGAGCACTTTGCATTTGCCTCTGCCACGTGTCCAGAGGTTATCAGGTGTCACCAGCCCAGGACCAATTTTTATGTTTGTCTCCACGCTTGGGGACAAGCTTCTTTCTATTTCCCTGGGTAGTGTCTCTAATCCCTGGTTTACTATGGTGCAGCTGCCTTACCAGGCGTCTCACATCCCACTTTGTGTCAGGCCTAAGGCCTCCTCTCCTGAGGGGTATGAAAAGACATGCTCCTGGCCACCCGGCCTGTCTCCAGGTCTGGCAACCACGCCAGGTGCCCAGACTCATCTCACTGCTCATTGCTCTGACCTTCAGTGCCCTCTGTGCTACTGGCACCTGGGATTTTAATCCTTGCTTGTGACCTCAGTTGTATTTCTGTACTTTCTAGCTGTGCTGAGTAAAGAGTTTGCATCAGCTCTGTTTGCCATGTTGTAGGTCCTGGAACTGTTGTGTTTTTATTTTGTGCTGTTTTATTTTTATTTTTAAAAAATATATTTTTATAGATTTCAGAGAGGAAGGAAAAGGGAGAGAGAGTTAGAAACATCAACGATGAGAGACAATCATTGATCAACTGCCTTCTCCATGCCTCCCTCTGAGGATTGAGCCTGCAACCTGGGCATGTGCTTTGACCTGGAATTGAACGGTGACTTCTCAGTTTATGGTCAACTCTCAACCACTAAGCCACACCAGCTGAGCTATTTTGTGCTGTTTTAAATCCTTTTGATTTAAGGATATATATCCTTCAGGAAAAACTTTTAATTATTATTAATTCTGACCCCAGGACTTCTTCCTCATTAATTACAAAAAATGTTTTTATTGATTTTAGAGAGAGATGAAGGGAGAGGGAGAGTTAGAAACATCAATGACTAGAGAGAATCATTGATCAACTGCCTCTTGTATGCCCTGCTGGAGATTAAGCCCACATCCCTGGCATGTGCCCTGACCAGGAATAGAACCAGTGACTTCTTCTTTCTTTCTTCTTTTAAAAAAAAATATATTTTATTGATATTTTACAGAGAGGAAGAGAGACAGATAGCTAGAAACATCAATGCGAGAGAAACATCAATCAGTTGCCTCTTGCACACCCCCGACTAGGTATGTGCCCGCAACCAGTACGTGCCCTTGACTGGAATCGAACCGGAGACCTCTCAGTTCGCAGGCCGACGCTCTATCCACTGAGCCAAACCGGTTTCAGCGAAACAGTGACTTCTTGATTCATGGGTCAACACTCAACCACTGAGCCATTCTTTTATTAATCCTCACTTGAGCATGTTTTCCATTGATTTTTTAGAGAGAATGGAAAAGAGATGGAAAGACAGAAATATCGATGTGAGACATATCCATTGGTCGCCTCCTGCACAAGTCCTGACCAGGGCTGGGGCTGGGAAGGAGCCTTTAATCTAGGTACGTGGCCTTGATGGGAATTGAACCCAAGACCCTTTAGTCCACAGGCCTGTGCTCTAACCACTTAGAAACATTGGTCAAAGCAGGAAAACTTTTAAAAAGACATTCTTAAGCCTTTTCTTTCGTACCCTGTCTCTTCTCACTGTAAATTCCTTAAAGGATGCCAGGTAACAACAGTCCAGTACCTAGAGCAGGATCTGCGTTAAAGCCATGTAATGCCCAGGACATTTTAGACATAGACCCACTGAGGGTCAAAAGTACACGTATGGCAAACAAACATTGTGGGTGGTGGTTTGCACTGTAAAAGGAATCAGACTACACAGACTACTCTGAAAAGTGTACTCAGCAAAATTTCCTCTTACACAATAACTCAGAAATATCCTTATTGTATAAAGTGAGGCCTTCCTAGGACTTAGTTTAGGTCCTCAGTGGGATCTCCTTTGCTGTGAACAGTAGAGGGAAACCCCTGGATTACGTGGCAGGCAGTGGAGATCATCTGAGGGCTGATGCAATCAAGGAAGAACTCAAAACTTAACTGTAAGGCTAGTTCATAACTCCCCTGTTTTGGTTGTAAAAAGCTAATAGCATTTGTTTGTCTTGTATCACTGGGTTCGTGTGTTCCTTTGCCCTCTGAGAGTTGAACGCTGGTCCAGTTGGCATTAGATTAGCCTGATAGGTCAAAGAGATATCTCTTCCAAATGATCCTTGGCTAACTGGCATTCTACACTCTGCAATCCTACATCCTCTTTGTTTTTGAGCCGTGGGCCATTAGCCCTTCAGAGCCAGGTCAGCCACTCCACTGACATCCCTCCAGGCTCCGCTGCTTTCTCAGCTCCTCTAGATC